GTCAGGTTTTGTACACAAACGGAAACACAATGTACAGTGACAGTGGTCGTTGATCAAGTAGGATGTTTGGCGTGCTCTTGAAACTACAGAACCCCCTGGAACTGTACGCTAGCCGACAGTTTTTCCAGACTCGAAATTCGGCTACGCTTTCCAGTCTGCCAGCGTGTCCACGTTAATATCTTTACTTAAAACCCTCGCTGTCTGTTGCAACATTTCTCCCTGTTCCCATGAAGACAAGAAGAAGAAATAGTGTTGACCGGACAGGCCAGAATAGGAACACTGACGTTTCTTGACAGTCAAGTAATTTCCTACACCATTGACAGCTACCGCTCAGTATCTCTATGCGCGTTGGAATATAAAGGAGCATTACTATAAGCATAAATATTTTCAAATAAATTCCTTCAGCGGATGGAAAACATTGTTTTTCTTCATGTAAGTCAGATAAACGCTTCTAAAAGAAATCACATTTTTTTCGGGAAAACAAGCATAGATTCACGGCATGTATATTTAGCCTTATTTGAATGATTCCTAAAATAGCCATTATCTGAAATTCAAATCTGTTGTAAAACTGATTATTTTTGTATGAGTAAATAGTGAGTTATAAATCAGCCTATCTCTTCGTTTTAAGGACGGCCGTTTCTTTACTGATTTAGGACGTTGGGGGACATGTTGCGTAACAAGAATTTTCTTGTGAAGTGCATGCGATTTACTTGGTTAGGAAGTCTACCATATGAATCTACTCAACAATAAACGCGCACACATCAACGTGGTAACTGTTGTACCGGTCACCTCAGTGGTGTCACCGTTTAGTTACGCCCGTCGGAATCCCCAAGGAAAAACACACTAAGAAGGGCGTAACTTTGGAATCTACACAGAGGAGGGTTTCTTGTGTACAAAACCCGGAGTTTCTGGCTCGGGTGGCAGTTGCCGCTGGTTGATCTCCAGCGCGCTGAATTTCCCCACTTTAGGGCTAGCCCCGGCAGTGGGGAGTGGACTAGCGGTGTCCTCACAGTCCGTGTTACAACTCACTGTCTGGGGGGGTTACAGTGGCTTATAACTGATTATTTAGCGCGTTCGCATTGGGATAAGGTCACGCGACCAGTTGGCCCCTAGGGAACTGCTTCCAGGTGGCATTTGTCTGGACGCATGTACATGTGTCCGATGCAGCCTTTAAGGTCATCGCGTGTGGGCGGTCAGAGCGAGGAAACAAAGACATTTCGGTAGGCTCGACACCTCAGGACAGCCTCCAATGTGGCTAGCATTTAGTCAGGCTTAACTCCTAACAATTCCCTCCTTCCATTTGAATACCCGTGAGCCGGAGAAATCCTTCAGTACCATTGATAGCCTTTTTGCACGATGTGATCCCCGGAGGCCTGTTGTAAAAGTAACGAACCAAGAAACCTTCATAGCCCTTTTTCACAATGTGATCATTGAAGGCTTGTTGTTGCTGAATGATAATCAGTTCGTCTTCCGCGGAAATACGCATGGTGGAAGGTGCGTAATCCATGCTTGTAATGTGCTGCATGATAGTCAGCTTTTTTTCGCAATAATGGACATGAGGAGTTGTCCCACGCCAAGTTGTAGGGGTGACAAATGGCAGCGTCGCCAAAGATGTAAAGACTCCAACACAGTGTGATGGCTGGTGGGATCACGACACTTTCGTAGAACAACAATTGTTCCACGGAAATAAACGTGGTGGAATGTGTGTCACTCATGTGTGTAACGTCCGAGGAACAATCTCAGCTGCGTCACCAGATTTGTAACGGTGTCATCTGACATATGTCACCGTTGAATTACGCCCTTTGGAAAACCCAAGGAAGAACACAATAAGAAAGACGTAACTTTGGTATCGGTCCCGATGAGGGTTTATTGTCTACAAAATCCGGAGTTGCTTTCTCGGGTGGCTTTTGCCGCTTTGGGCAGGCTAAACTCCTAAAAGTAACAACGTGGAAGTAGAGAAGAAGATGATACGATCGCTGGGACAATATTTTTATTCGCCTGACGTTTCGCGGGCCCCCAATCCGTAAACAAGTGCAACGATTTGCTCATTCCATATTCGGTGCTGAGACTCAATTTGGCCAAAGCAAGTTGCCGCTCGGGGAACAGACAGGCCACTGCGCCATCCTCCGTCAACACCGCTTCTCGTTGCTCACGTGTCCAATCGGTACTCACGCCATACAGTTATCGATTTTTTCTACACTTTTAAATTTTAACTGTTTTACACTGCAGACTCCTTTGCATACGCCACCTGTATCCGCTACGGCTCTCTGATTATGTCTCTGATGACGAGTCCGCGACGGATCTCCAAACGTCAGACGAATAAATATATTGTCCCAGCGTCGAATCATCTTCTTCTCAATGACTTCCTGGGACCCGCGTGTTTGCTGTTATTGGCAACGTGGAAATATCTTGTAGCAAGTATGATATCCAAATTGTAATCACTGCTATACCGTGCAAAAAGTAGTACAATACTGTATACCAGTTCCTCAACCACTTCTTTCAGCATCACAACTACCACCACTTCAGTGGCCACAAACCCATCCTTGGAAATGGGCACCATACAGTGACCTAGTCGGCAATATGTGAGCCCATTGTACCGGGTCTCGTAATCCAGTGAATTTTCATTGGAGAATCCTGATACATTAAGTGGGGAACGGATCATATGTGACGCAGGAAGACGGTTAGTCTAGCTCCATCAAATAGCATACCTATTCCCATCACGGTTTTACAAAATTGTTTGGATGCACATGATTGCAGTGACAGCATCCTCTGAACGGTCCTAACTCAAAACTGGCTGAGCGAAGGCCGACACACGCATACATCAGTTAACCAATGAATATATTTGATAGTCCAGTGCATGGGTTGCTGGTATTAACTTCATCGTACCACCAATCTATCCATCGATCACGGTCACACCCTCTTACCACCTGGATATCAACACAAAACTGTGCCATTTTTCTTACACGAATTAAAACTCAGTTTACATTCTCACTGGTCCATCTTCAGTATGCTGATTGAAGGGTTATTTAAAACATAGATCTTCCGAAATCGTGCTACTAGTCGAAAAGAGCAAGGGATGTAAGTCTAACAACGTCTTCAGCCAAATATAATCAACCAGGTCCGCATTGTCTATTGCAACTGCCCTGTCCTCTCATGAAGACAAAAAGTGGAGGTAATTCGTCGATGAACGTTAAGCTGATCGCTAACGGGACTTACCTGTCCCCGTATGTCTTGGGTCTCACCAGAGGCCCTGACAGCCGTAACAACTGCTATTATAGGCAGATAATATTGCCGGAAAAGACAAGGGACACTGGAGTTCACGTTGAACGCACTTACTGGATAGAGTTTATGGACAATCTGCTAAACCTAACCGTATATTGTCCAGACAAATGCGAAGGAAATCATATGTAGCAATCAGCTTCGCTGCCGATTAGGTAAAAAACCTCACTTCGAAGAATCTGCCTGACTAAACCATAGTTAAACTCACATAGTCACAGTTGGTTTCGACGAGGTTTACTGTGTACCCAAAAAAATGCTGCTCCAGGGCCGGTGACTTGCGCGTAAATCAAGATCAAACCAAGAGGACCGGCGGCGAGAAGAGGCGATGGTGGCTGGCCACCCCTAGGCGTGCGGCCATCAATTAATCTGACCTACTCCCTCAAGAGAATCCACTGGTCAGTTTTGACGCCACTGCGACTGGTCAAGATGCTAGCGCATCCAGGACGTTTTAATTTGGGCATGAATGCGGAGAGGGGATCTCTCCCGGCCATCTAACTCATTCTTCTCTTCCCCATACGATCAATTTATTTAATCTAATAACTGCGTCTCCAATGCAAGCAATTAATAAAAATACGTTGCTACGTATCTGTCTTGCATCAATTCATTTGACCTATCCTCTCGAGAAGAACCACTTGTCAGTTTTGTCAACACTGCAACCGGTCAAGATACTAGCGTATCCGGGAGCTTTAAAGTTGAGCGTGCATGCGGAGGCGGACTCTCGCCCGGCTATCCAACTCACTCTTCTCTCCTCCATCGTTGCAGCAGTTGCAACCCCGCAAAAGAGCCATCGCATTCACGGTTGCGACTGGGAAACCTGACCACCAGCACACACGATTACAACGGCTTTACCATAGGTCTACTTGTCTATCTTCAGTTATTTTACGCGAATCTCATCAAGAGAAACTGTTTGTCAGTTTCGTCAAGCAGACTGACCGGTGGTTAGGCAGGCCTCCTGTTGGCAACACTGCAGCAATACCGAAAATGCATCGACAGCAAATGCAATTTCATAAGTTTCCACCTTACAGCATATTCGGGAGTTCTACTGGTCGAACTTGCGGGGATTCCGGTGTCCCATGTGGGGAAAAACTCCGTTCGGCCATTAGCTGAAAGGAGGAAAGGAGACGGTGATTGCACTCTTGAACCGGCCTTCATGTGATGCCATATTTTCACGAGCACAACTCTCTTATGGACATCGAGGCCAGCTGGGCGAAGCTAGACAGACACAGGCGCCAGTTAACCACTTAACATATTTCTGAATTACTTGATATTCGAGCGCC